GGAGCATGGAAGAACTAGGACACTGGGGTGTTCTCATCACCCCCAAACTTTCCTCAAAGGGAAAGAAGCCAGCCTTTTCTAGGGTGGAGGGAAGGCTGTGATGGTCATCACAGGGTCTGAGCTGTGTCTGAGAGTGAGGTCAGGGTATGTTTGAGATTGGGGAAAAGCATATACATCACTTTCAAAGTATTGAGCTTTGAAAGGGACCACTCAGCAAAGGAGGTCAAGGGCTCATTGAAAATTCAGCAATTAAGGAAATTTTATGTTTTAATAGAATATCTTTTATTTACCACTGTGATTTCTTCCTATAGAGACTTACAATGTTGAAATGCAACACTGGCAAGTGAGATTTTAAAGATTAATAAATGAAGACCATTCTAGAAACATAGAAAAGACATCAACTGATCCTTTAAAGTAAAGACTCTCTTATGCCTGAACTCCTTTCGCTGCCTTTGTTTCCATGATTAAGATTACTCTCTTTAATCCAATTCAAGTGGCTTTTCTTGCATCCTTCCTATGAGAAAGAAAAAATAGCTCTGCTTCTAAGCTCCTTATATCTCACCCTGAAAGCCTGACATGGATGCAATAAGCTATTGACCACTACCGAAATGCACCATAAGTACTGACTGAAATGACATCAGGACACAGAACTGGGAAGTGGGCAGGGGAGAGAAAAATCATGGAGGAGACATAGACCATAGTATGTTTTAGGTAACTACAGTCTTCAGCACCTTGGAGAAAATGGAGGATAATTTTAGTTAGACAGAGTGGGTTCAGGCTGAAGAGATCTTCATTTAGATAAGACATTTTGGTTGCAAGTACTTGATGACGACTTGAGCAGGCCGAGCTGTCTAACACAGTAGTGAGAGCCCAGGCTCCCAAGTCTGACCGTCCTGGCACGAATCCTGATTTTTCATCCAGTGCTAGCTGCATGTCATGGGCAAGTTACTTAATTTTTATGTTCTTCAGTTTTTTAATATATAAAATGAAGTACTGCATGGAGTTATTGAGAGTATTACATAAAATAATTTAGGTAAAGTGATTGGAACCCTCCCTGGCACATACTAAATGCTCAGAAAATTTTATTATTTTTTGATAATGATAATTTGATGAAGCAAAGGGGGGTTCATTATAAGGACACAGGGCTGTCTTAGGGAATCCAAGGTTAGAACTGCCACTAAGTTTCAATTTGGGACTAGACGAGGGAAATAGAAAGGCATCGGGGAACCCAACATCATCTTTCTGTTTCTCTCAGGAGACCTTTAACATGTTTCTCTTTCCTTACATATCAGCCTTCCCTGTTTTTAAATTCTATATTATATGGGGAATTATAACTACCCTCAGCTCTCAAGTTCATATAAGAATTCCAATTACCTGAAGAGAAGGACTGGTTGCCTTAGTCACAATTTCAAGTTTACAAGAGAAATATAACTGGTCAAGCTCAAGTGTCCATTGCTAGTCCAATCAACTAAGGCTAAGGACAAGGTCCTACAGTAGACCCATCCTAGACAGGGGTCAGTTCTCAGAGAAAGGATGAGCTCAAAAGACACCCCAAAATGTTTTGGCCTCTCCTAGAGCACTCTAAACTTCTGTCCTGAGGAATATGATTTTTAGACAATGGTCTTCCTTCTAGGAATTCCAAAGGAGGAGGCCTACTAAACCACCACTAGGGGCTCAGATTTTAGTGAGAAAATTAGTGCATTCTATATCTCCAATTTTATTGAGGGTTATTTTAGGGGAAATTCCATTCCAAATTTGTCTCCTGAAACAGATATTTGAGTCCAGAAGTGAAAAATAAGTAATTTGTATGTAGCAGAATAACATTTGTCTTATTAACCAATTACCTTTTCCCCAGAACTCTCTGTGATCCCATGACACTACCATTTTGGGGCAGTAGGCCATGAAGAATCTTTTGCCTTTTGACAAATCAAAAGTGAAAATAAGAGTCAAGTCATAAGCTTGGATTTTTCTATTTTAAAAATTGTGGGAAAATATCCAATCAAGGAAGAAAATATTAAAGATTAGAGTGAACAGTAATGAAATAGAATCTAGAAAACCAAAGTTGCTTCTTAGAAAAGATCGACAAAATTTCAGCTGGATTTCCTTTGTGGAAGCTGCCTGCCCTGCTCTTCAGAAGCAGCCTCCTCACTGTTTACCACCCCACAGTACCTAGGTGACCTCAAGGCTGTAAGACATAGCTGGAAGGTCTTTCCTCTGTCCGGTCTCATCATCAGACATCAAAAGATGTCAGGAAGCCACTTTCTTCCTCGTCAATGTGTCCTAGGCCTCCAGTGCCCCACATGTTGAGAAAGATGGTCCCAAAATGCAAATGGAGATGGGCTTCCTCCCACCTGTCACAGTGCTGTACCTGTGGGGACCAAACTCTCCCAGTCTCTAGTGTAGAAAGGGCTAAAAAGCCTTAATTATGGTTTGCCTAAAAATCAAGTGGTGCTTGACACTGGAAGACCCCAGAATCTGAACATCGGATGAAACACTTGCACCCCTCCCAAAGGCCCTAGAACCTTGATTTTTATTCATCCTTTGTTTTGGTGGGGGAGCAGGTACTGAGGATTTACCTCAGGGTCACTTGACCATTGAGCCACCTCCCTCCCCAGCCCTATTTTTTTTGTATTTTATTTAGAGTCAGGGTCTCACTGAGTTGCTTAGCATCTTGCTTTTTGCTGAAACTGGCTTTGAACTTGTGATCCTCCTGTCTCAGCCTCCCAAGCCGCTGGGATTACAGACATGCACCACTGTGCCTGGCTGATTTTTTCATCCTTTACAACTGTCTTCCTTAGCCAACTGAAGCTTTGTCTGGATCTAGACTCAGTTACACTACACAAGTTTGACTGGACTGTCCAGCGCATCTTTAATAGTGGCTGTGTCTCACCCGGCTGCAGGACTGGCTTCCTGGACATGTACCTGTGCCATTACACTGGGCCCTACATTTTGAAGGGCCCACAATTTATTTCCTAATGTGCTATCATCATCTTGAATTCTTAATTTTTTTAAAATTTTATTTATTTATTTGCAAAGAGCACAGATCTTCATTTTGCAGTTCTCTCTGAAAATCATGTAGCCAGTCCCAGAAGCTTCCATTGTTGGAAGCTTCCTTTTCCATGGGTTTAAGGTGTACTGTTCCTGAGCTTGGTTTGAGGAATGGTTAATCACCTACTCTAGAGCCAGACAGCTCATATTTGAATCCTGGTTCTTTTGTTACTAGTCCTATTATCTTGATAGATCTTCAGGCTCAGTATTTCTATCTGTAAAGTGGGGGTATTCATAGGCTTGTGGAAGGATAAAATTTTAGCATGTGTGAAACACTCAAATACCTGGAGCATAATAGAAAGCTATGCAGTATCAGCTGTTCTTATTGTGTGGCTTTCCAGGGTCAAGCTGCTTTGCAGTTTCAGCAGTGTGTCTTGCATTTGGTGGTGAATCTGACTTTTGACTGAATTATTTCTGTCAAATAAATCATAAATAATAATATAATAAATAAATAATAGTCTCTGCTCATGAAAATGTCTTAGCAGAGTCCTGTGAGCAATGTGGGTGTGGAGAGCCATCCAAACTCTGCCTTTGGCCTGCCATGGAGCAGAGTTACGATTAACTTCCTGCTATTCCTAACCCCACAGACATCCTACCTACTCAAGTCAGGTTTCCCATAGTGAGGGCATGTACTCTGCACAAGTTAACTGTTAATGGCACACAGACCCACCATTAAATAACATTAAACCCCACAGTGAGAAATCTTGCATGTTTCATTTTCTTTTAATCCACTGTTACAAATAGAAGAAAATCTCCATTCGTTGTGGATAAATTTGTAACATCTCTTGTACTTGCCAACCTTCCCTTTATAATTAGGGGGAAAAAATAGTCCTGGGGCTTAGAGCCTTTGGCAGACCACAGTATTTAGTTGGAATTTTAAACATTGTCGTGTTCTCATTGTATTTATTTCTAGGGTTAATTTATAAGGGAAGCTGTTTTTTTTTCCATTTAAGGTAATAATCTAACATTTCTTATGGGGAGCAAAATAACATGTGAGTGGATTTAGTACTGCTTTAAAATAAGAAGCTATTAATGAAGAAACACCCCCAGCTATGCCCAAAAGCAAAATGGAAAGTATGAGGTCAGAGAAAAGCAGGTCAGGTCATTTTAACCTCAATGTCAACATCGTGGGACATAATTTTGATCACAAAAGGGTAATATGATTTACCCACACTTGGAAGAAAAGCAACAAGCAGCAAGGAAAATGAAGGAGGAGAGTTTTTTTTTTTTTTTTGGTTTTGAAAAAATAGAAAATTCCAAGCCTACGTATTGGGGAACATGTGGGTTCTTCAGATGTGTCATTGTCTATTGGCTGTGACCATGCTAATTAAGCCTGTGGGCTAATATTCACATTGCATCACCTGGCCATCTGCTTATTTTCACAGCTTGGAAAGGCGGAAGCTCTGGCTTCAGCTGCCCTGGGTGAGTGGCCCAGGGGAGTAACTGCAGCCTGCTGCTTACGTCATTCTGCCCAACTTTGGTATGGAGGGAGAATCAACAAGTCAGCAGTTTCCTTTTAAAGAATATTTATTTCATTTTTTAAAATAGTTAAAGAGAAGAATCTAGGAGGAATGGTGGTGAAGGTGAATATCATATGTGTTTGTTTCCCAAACATTTTTAACCCACCCTACCCATCCCCACCCTTTTTTGTTCTGATGTTTGCCCTGGACCTGTTTGGGCTATACTGAGGTGTTTCTTGTCTTCTGGCTTCCAGTTGAGGGTCATTCAATGGGTAGGATGAGCAAGAGGGTGAAGGAGCCAGAAAAGTGATGTCAGGAATCGCTTCCTCCCCGGAGGACTGGCTGTTCCCAGCCCCCTCTGCTTCCAGGCTCAGGTGCTCTCTCCGCGCAACTTCAGGCCCCATGTCTCAGCAGCCCCCACGCCACTAGCTCCAGACAACTGCTTCCCCACAACAGATGATTGAAAACAGTACTTTTAATTTGAGCTCACCATCTGGTTTTGTTTGTTTATTTTATTTTAATTTTTTTTTTATGGACTATGACTGGTAACAAGGTTATTTACAAAGATCAAAATCCTCCAAACCTTCCAGAGACCCAAAGGAGGCACGGGGATGGTCAGTGGCGCCCTCCCCATCCCCACTCTTCATCCCCTCTTTTGTTCCAACTAATTTTCAGTTGCTATTTTAATACAGAGAATTCAATATCTACTGTCTTCTCCAATCCCATAGACTACAAATCATTTTTTTCTACATAAGGGAATTTCCATTCCAATAAAATATTTAAATGATTCAGAAATTCCATGATGTTTTATTTAAAAAAAAACTTCTCTGTTTCAATGGCATCCTAAGTATAGATGCTGAAGGATGTGAGGCAATTGCAGTTACGTAGGAATAGGGAAGCTGAAATAGCATCCATGTGAGCTTTTCAGATCGGCAATGGGGACCAAGTTCTGTAAAATGAGTCATCTCCCCTCCATAGAAACTGATTATGAGGAATATAATCAAGAATTTGACCTTCCTCGTTAGTAGCAATAGTCTAGCACATGTTGCATACACATATACATGTCCCTCACCATATTTTCCTCAAAAAAAGTCCAGGGAGGTGTCCTACCCATGTTTATGCTATCCACAGGCTATTTTCAGGTCATGCGAAACAGACACACTTGCTTGTAAGTTCACTGGCTCAGGCAGACAGACTGTGTTTTTACTGCAAGAGAAGAGCAACAGAAGGCAGTTTCTTGGTTGGTGAAGAAAGAGGGCTGTCAATTATTTGTCTCTGTGTTCCCATGATGTCCAGTGACAGGAGTTTAAAGTCTTCTACAATGGAGCCTATCCTTGACCTCCAAGTGTCCAGGGGTGGTAATACAAATAATATAAATGCCTGCTAGAGGAAGGGGAAAGGGAATGTGGATTCCAGATCCATAGCCATGACTGTACCAGAGACACACTTGAAATGGAGGCTAAGTAGGAGGAAATAGGCAATGAGAAAATGTTGTTCCAATAAAACCTTACATGGATACCAAACACATTAAGCAGTTATAAAGGTGAGTTTCTTATATTGAAGTGGAGGTGGAGAATCAAAGCCCATCCTCCTTTTCTTGCTTCTTATGCCACCCTCCTTGTCATCCTTCCTAACATCCCCAACCCTAGAGGTCCCACTAGGGAGCTTCAGGAAAACCCTGGGTTTTTGTCCTCTCTGCTGCTAAAATGGTAAATACCACAGCAAAATTGAATGTCAACAAGCAATGCACCTAAGGGAGGGGTGGTTGCTTGGTGTGTTTATGTGTGTGTGTGTGTGTGTGTGTCTGGGGTGGGGTTGGGTACGGGGGCTCACCTGTCATTGACGGGCAGAGGAGCCATGCAGAACTTCCCAACGATGGTACTCTTGTTTTTATTCCAAACCTGGCTGGAAGCCTGAAACTTTAATTTCACTTGTTTTATCTGGCACTGTGGCTCAGGGTGGGCTATGACTCCTCTTCCCCGGAGTTGCTGTCCAGGTCTAGGGGCAGGGAAAGGGAAAGTGAATGTCTGTGGTACTTTCTGCTTCACTTCCTCTTTGGCTGTGATAGGACTTTGCTGATCACACTGGCTGGTTGTCATGCATAAAGGGACTAGCTCCTTGAAGGTGGGAACCATGGTCCTTTGTATTACTTCACCAGCCCCTCTACCCACACATTTTCAGTCTTGACCGTGACTCAAGAAATACTTCTTGATTTTTGAGAATAAAAGAGTAGACCCTGTGGCAAAATAGAATTCTTAGAATTTCATATCTGGAAAAATGTCCCTTACTCTTGGATTCACAAGTAGAGGAGAGCTTTACTTTAAGATGCAACTATTTGAAAATAGAAATCCTCTTTTAGGGCCCCTCAGTTCAAAGAATATAGTGTAAGGGTACTCTGCATTAAGCCAGGTATGAATGTACAGATGGAAAAACAATAATAACAACAACAAAATAGGTCTTGAAGTCAGACAGAGCTGGGGTGGACCCCAGGTTTTGACTCTTTAAGCTGTCTGGCTTTGGACAAGTGACCTAACCTAGGAAGGTAGCCCTGGATTCACACAGTCCTAAGTATAAATCCCAGCTTCCCCATGGGCCACCATGAGCTTGAACCACAGTGTTCAGAACAGTTGGACTTCCACCTAGAAGGCCCAGAGTGAAAATGCCCAGGTCTCTCTTAATCCACTCTTTGGGCCTTGCCCTCAGTTTCCCCATCAGTGTACAAGATGCAGGCACCACCTCATCAGTGACAAAGTTGAAGAAGGAGAATGAGACAAAGATGCAGGCAGATTGTGAAGTGCCCAGCCTGGTGGAGTGCTTCAAAAAGGGCTGTGGGACCTTAGATAAAGGCCAGAGATGGTAAGATCCAAGTGTGGAAGAAGAGGCCTTCCATGAAAGTCATCAAATTTGGAACAAGGCTCAGCCCTTCCAGAAGAGTCCTGAGGGTATGATGTTGGGGAGTCAGGAAGAAGGACAGCAAGGACTGCACCAGGCTAGAGGGAAAGAACTTGCCTCCTGGGCCCTGATCTGGTCTTCCCACCCTTTCTGTTCCTCCCTGGGCTCTGGGGCAGAAAGAGGGAAAGAAGGGCCATGGTCCCTTCCACACCATGTAGCAGGGTGGGTCCTTCCTCACCTCACCAGCCCAATTTCTCTTTCCTTGGCAGTGATGACATATCTTTTGGGTGTAGCTTTTAGTCTGAGGTTAAGCATATAGTTTGTTTTTTCCTTTTGAGGGAAGATACTGTATAACTGTTTAAAAATTCCCTACTCTTCAAAGTGTTTTGAAATACGGTAGAGAAAAAATAAGATTGTTCTTTTTAAGAAACTGCTTAGATTGAGGAGCTTACAAAATAGAAGGAATATGAAAAATGCTTTATGTGAGTAATTTGGGAACTTGACTCCAGTAAATTCTACAATTCAAAGTTAATGTTGGTGTTGCTCAAAGCTAAAGATTGTAGGAAAAAGAACATACTTTCTCCTTGGAAGCCCCATCCCCAATTTTTGATCTTAAAGATTAAAAATTTTAAAAAATGAAGGTAGAAGCTAACATGTTCTGGTGGCCATCTTCAAAATTCATGTAAGTCTTTTGGGGAGGAGGCACTAACCTGTGGATGTCCATTAGACTCACTCATGGAACTTTGGCTGTGTGGTTCATCTGGAGTGAACTTTGGTGGGGTGGACCCCATTTTTAAAGTTCTCCAGGTGATTCTAAGACACAGCCAGGACTGTGCATCATTGACATCACTCTGCCACTGTTGACCGACCTACAGTGTTCTGGGGAGGTGAGGCAAACACCCTTCTAGAAATACCATGATCTTGAATTGATCCAATAGAAAGTACTCAGCTCACTGACTTGCTGCCAAAATCCTGGGTGGTCCCCAAACTCTGGCCAACCTTCCCTGGGCTAGTGACTGAGGCCTTCCTGAGCACTGTTTCCTATTAGGGACCTGATTTCTATGTTCTAACCACCTGTTGGGACATCCCATTACTGCTGCCTGCTTGCCTTGTCATCTGAATACCCTATGCTTGGACCTGTACTAATCCCATACTAACCCGTACTAACCTGGGACATTTCCCCAGAATGCGTCTATGGGTCAGTCTACACAGGTGCTGCACCAGCCGGGTCATCTAGGTCCAACTGTTGGCAATCTCAGCCTGACCTGGGATGTTTGGAGTGTGTACACTTGGACAATGTAAAGGCAGCTCCTGAGGAGAGGGGTCAGCCACGTGGGACACTTACGTACATGGTGATCTTGACTGAGGAGGTGACATTGCTGCTAACAAAGGTGATCTTGATGCTTGTGTCCTTTCTTCTCGGCTCCTGCAAGTAAAACTCCACAAGGCTGTGATGCACTAGGAAACCAAAGCACAGCAGAGACTAAGGCAGAAGGCAGAGATGCAATGTTTGGAAAGCCCCCAAAAGTGGCAGAGCAGTTGGGAATCTCGGCTCTACTTCTTAGTAGCTGTGTACCCCACAGCAGATCCAGATCCCAAGTCATCTCAATGTAAATTGGGAATAGTAAAATAGATGTCCCACAGGTCAGAGTGAGAAGTAAGCAAATTAATACATATAAAATTATTAGGACAGTGTCTGTACCTAGGAAGCATTCAGTGTCAGTTTTATTACCTGTAGAACCAGAATGTCTCACTCTCCCTTATTTGGTGTCTTTATCATGGTTATGTAATCTTGAACCCAAAAGAATCTAGCATTTACTGTTATGGTTAGAATGTCGGTTTCCCCTCCAAAGTCACATTTGAACTTAGCCCTCAACACAACAGTATGAAGAGGTGGGGACTTTTGAGAAGTGATTAAGTCATGAGAACAGATTCCTCAAGAGTAGTTTAGTGAGCTGAGCCTGGTGGCACACACCTGTAATCCAGATATTCAGGAGGCTGAGGCAGGAGGACTGCAAGTTCAAGGCCATCCAGGGGAACTTAGTGGGACCCTATCTCAAAAACTAACAAATAAAAATTTAAAAAGAAAGACTGGGAATGTAATGGTAAGTGCCTGTGGGTTCAATCACCAGTATTAAAAAAAAAAAAAAAAAAGACCTCAGTGGAACTAGTCAGGGCCCTTTGCTCCAAACTGCCTTTTTGCCATATGAAGAATGGCAGTGACGCAGCAACATGTGCCATCTGGAAGCAAAGAGAACAGACTTCATAGGTGCCAAATGCCAACACCTTCATCTTGGACCTCCCAGTCTCCAGACTATGAAAAGATAAATTTCCATTCTTTATAAATTAGCCAGTCTCAGATTTTTGTTATAGGAGCACAAATAGACTAAGACATATGCTAAATAATTCACTCCTAAAAGACAGTAGTGATCTTCCCCCTCCCAAACACAGTGTCAGAGAACCAAGCTATGTGTATAAGAGAAGGCTATTCCCCTCCCTGTGGCAGCTGGTCAACTGTGTGGCATCTTGACCCTCCCTTGGGCAGCACGGATGCTGGTACTCTCAAAGAGGGTGTTGTTGACACAGACTGGGCAATCAGCCTGGCAGATGGTGATACCCTCAGGGCTTATCATCCCTCTAGCAAGAAAAGGTAAGGAAGATTACAACTCCCCTAATGCACCATCCTTTTCTTATCAAGTAGTAGGTGCACCTGGTAGCATTTTGCAGTAACTTTGTTCTCAGAAAAATTTCCGAGGCTCCTTGGGTGATGGGAACATGGTTAAAGATGTACCTTTTCTTCACCTCTCCCCTGTCTGTACTTTTACTTTTTCAATTGCTTCATTTCCTGGATGAATATTGGGTGGTGGTGAGGGACATTCAAGAGATATAGGTGAACTCAGTACTAAGTTGAAGGAGTGCTGTGGTACTTCTGGGCCCAACAGGATTAGTAACAGAACTCTCTGGCAAGCACCAAGATGCTAGAAACTCATGAGAAGAAAAGAGATGCTTGTATGCTCCTCCCTCCACAGGGAAAACACCAAAGGCCATGTCTTCCATCTCTCCCTCCCAGTTGTTTACTATGGGATGTTGATTGTTGTGGGGATAGACAAAGTCTGAACTGAAGTGGATACCTGTGAGCCTAACTTATGAAAGCTTTAGAAATTTAATTTTCTGGGATGAGTTTGACTCATGATATCACATCTTCCTTTGCTAACAGATATGATTGATGGAGAAATTTTCTTAAGGTTCTGCCTGTCTTTTCTTTACATGGTTCTGGAAAATCCAAGAAACCCAGGCCTAAGGTTGAATGGATGAGAACTGGTAGTAAGATCAAATCTACATGGGAGTAGGACATAGGTAGCAGCATACAGAGAGCCCCTGACTGGCTGGTTGGGAGTTCTGGATCCAAGGCCAGACGTGCTTTTCACAGGCTGTAGGCACCTGACCTAAGCCATTGAACCTTGCTGTGTCTTGGTTCCCTCAACTATAAGCAGTAATCCCAATATCACCAATAGGACATGGTGAGGATCAGATGAGGTAATGGAGAGAAGGCAATTTGTGAAAAACTGTTCTATAAAGCAAAAGTAATATTGTTTAAAAATATTATTTATAGAAAATCGTCTGCTCATACTGGCACATGCTTGGCAGAAATCAAGGGTGACCACTGTCCTCATGGGCAGTGCTGAGGTGGAAGCGGACCAAGGGTACTGGCATGGGAGCCCAATGCCATGAAAGCCTGGGAGTGGCTGGATAGCTGTGAGCTGGCAGCTGGGCCCCACCTGAGCATTCTTAGATAGGCTTGCTCATGCCTGGTCCTGGAGGGGAGACCTGCTTCCATCCTCAGAATGAGAGACTTACAATACACAGGTGAGCAGGTGTTCATGCTGGCTTGCTCTCTTCTGTGTCTCTCTGTGGTTTTTGAACATACAGGGCCATGTTTCTTGGTAGAAGGAGGAGGTCTCACAACAAACATGAACAGAAAAATCAGGAGTCTGTGAATCTATCTTAGCAGGGACCTTAAAATGCTTTTAACCTTCAAGAGTCCCAGGGTCAAAAACATATATTGGAGAAAAGATAGCCTCTTCAACAAAGGGTGCTGGGAAAACTGGAGATTCATATGCAACAAAATGAGATTAAGCCCCTATCTCTCACCATGCACAAAACTCAACTTAAGGTGGATCAAGGACCTAAGAATTAAACCAGAGACTCTGTACCAAGTAGAAGAAAAAGTAGGCCCAAATTCCATTATGTCAGATTAGGACTTGACTTCCTTAATAAGATTCCTATAGCACAAGAATTAGAATCAAGAATCAATAAATGGGATGGATTCAAACTAAAAAGCTTCTTCTCGAAAAAGAAACAATCAATCAATGAAGTGAATAGAGAGCCTGAAGAATGGGAGCAAATTTTTACCACATGCACATCAGATAGAGCATTAATTTCTAGGATATATAATGAACTCAAAAATCTTAGCACCAAAAAAAACAAATAATTCAGTCAATAAATGGGCCAAGGCACTTCTCAGAAGATGATATACAATCAATCAACAAATATATGAAAAAACGTTCAATATCTCTAGCAATTAGAGAAATGCAAATCAAAACTACTCTAAGATTTCATCTTATTCCAGTCAGAATGACAGCTATTAAGAATACAAACAACAGTAAGTGTTGGCAAGAATGTGCTTGGTCCCTCAGAGCTTCCCTTTCCTCACCCACTTCTCTCAGAGTTGGGCTGGCCAATGACTGACACGCGTAGAAAGGCCACTGTTGACTCTGCAACCTACTCTGACCCTGAGAGATATGGCCATGAATTCTCTCTGGCCTGAAGGTAGCAACACCTCCATCTGTTCTTCTCTCAAATTCTCTAAGGGAAGGAAAGGATATGCTTCTTTATTTGGTTCCAATCACTGTGCCAGAGACTTCCCTTATACTATTTTGTTTTATCCTCACAATTGATTCTTGCAAGTAGGTACTGTTATTGTTCCCATTTTCCACATAAGAAGTCCAGAAAGCTTAAGTAAATTGATCCTGATCACACAGCCGATAAGCCTGGAGAAGATGAGATTCAAATCCAGGTCTTGTGTGACCAGAGTCTGAGCTCTGGGCTCCATATCACATTGCACTAGGCCTTCCAGTAACTGGAAGAAATAGTCACAAAGACCCCTCCGTTAACTCCAACACAAGCTAATCAGAAAATCAGTTAAAATGATGGACACATAATGTATCATCCAAACCAGCACAATTGTGCCCTGTATACATCACAAAGCAGTCAGGAAGACCCCAAGACAACACACATAAACCAGGAAGTACAGTGAAGACATAAATAGCATGGGGAAGAAGGAACTACATTGTCCTAAGACAGGCTTTCATGTTTTACATCTTTTACAATCACGGACATTTTAGCTTCTAAGAAATGCAGTGAAAGCAACTATGGACCATTTGAATGTGTCTGTAAAGGGGAAGGTGGGCGGAGGGTGCATTACCCAGGACCCTCATCCAGTAGGGCTGCCCCGGTGGGAGACATATACAGTGTTCATCAAGGAGGGGGAAGAAAATGTGTAGGAAGGAAGGACCCAGAAGTGTGAGCAAATACTGCTCTAGAGAGACCCAACCCTCAGAGCAAATCTGGGTGAGAGGAGAAAAGAGGATCAGTACATAAACAATAGAATATCCCAAGACCTCATCTGTGGAAGTGTGGACTGGCCTCATTCTTACAGTCTGGTTCCATCAAGACCAGGAACTGCTCCTCCCAGTATATCTTTGCCCCAGTCCTTCGCCTCCCAGCTGGGCTCCAACACTGGGCTGGATACAGTCCAGGTTGGAGTCCTGGACTCTTCCAAAAGGCACATTGACACAGCATGCATTTTCTCCCTACTCACCACAGTAGGGGGCCGTGGACATGGTCAGAAGGTAGACTTTCACTTCCTTGGGAAGCGGCTCTATCTTGATACCACTTTGGTCTCCTAGCCCTGGAAATTAAGAAGCAAAGAGGAGGCCATTTCAGGAGAAATGGAGAAGCTGAGATTCAAATCCAGGTCTTGTGTGACCAGAGTCTGAGCTCTGGGCTCAGCACCCAGCCATATACAAATTAATTCGCATACCCAGAAACAGACAGCTACACTGTGTACTCATTCCAGGTGCTGGGAATTGAACCCAGGGCCTTGCACATACTAGACAAACACCCTACCACAGAGCTGCACCTCCAACCCTTTAAAAAAAATTTTATATTGAGACAGTATCTCTCTAAGTTGCCCAAACTGATCTCAAACTCCCGGTCCTCCTCCCTCAGTCTCCTGAGATGCTGGTTTTACAGCTGTATGCCACCATGCCTGGCTATATGACCCATTCTCAATAGATAATTATAAGAAATTTAAAATTATGTCTTTTTCTTGCAAATCAATCTACATGACAGCTTAATGGCATTTGTATCCTGTGCAGCAAAAACAGTGCAAGGGAAATATTGGACCTGGAGACTGCAGATGCCAGTCAGGGAGAGGGTGATCAGGGCAGAGAATAGAGTTAGGGAAAAGGCCCACATGATGAGGAAATGTGCTATACCCTTGGAAGTACACATGGTTAGCATCCCTAGGGTGTTCAGTGCAAGGGAAAGTGGAGAGAGAGCTGAGGCTGGGCAGTCAATGGAAAGTGGCTGTTACATCGACTGGTCCATCACATCTGGGGACAATGCAGACCACACCCACTGAGCCTGAAATAGTGCTGGCTTGTTTTGTTATGGTAAGATACCCTTCCTCTAACATTTTATCAAGCAGGTATCCACTTCATTTGTATAAGCAATGTTAGGCTGCTGCAGTTTGGAGTGGTGGGAGGTGGGAGAGTGTGGAATGGGGGAAGAGTATTTCCACTACTCAGGGGTTTTTCACCCTGGATAACCCCAGGATATCTGCAGCAATAGTCTACACAGGCAAGTTAGAGGACAGCTCCATCAGCCTTCTCTCCCCAGACTGGCCTGAGTCATTCAGGAACATGCCCAAGTGGCCCAGCTGTTAGTCAGTTCCTTCCACACTGGCTGGCATGTGGCCATCACAGTGTCGCACCTCTGAAGTGGGCACGTGTGCCACTTTAGAGTTTCCCCAGAACACACTAATTAAGGGGCTGTGAAGAGCTGGAGATGGCCAACCTAGCAAGAAGGACTTATAGAAGTATCTGTCAGAGAAGGGCAGGGGCTCTGCATTGTGCCAATGTTTCTAGAGAGTGTCCTGAGGCTGGGCGTCCAGATGAGAGGGGCTGTCGGTGCAGAGGGGGTGTGGCAGCAGGGAGCAGGAGAGCTGGTGAGAGGCAGAACACAGAGGGCCAGCTGTTATCTTCTGTGAGAACAGGCTAACACCTCTTGAGTTAATTTTTCTTTCCCTCAATTGGATAGTTCAACCATTGGAACTTAGAAGGTAAAGAGGTGACAACTGGCAGGATTTGAACTTTCCCCAAATTGTCCAAGTGAGTCCAAAGGGTGACATTTTACCTATCCTTGGACAGGAAAGCAGAAAAGGGTTAAAGCAATCCACACAGTTTCCAGCAAGGAAGTCCTGGTAGCTGGCACAAGGAAAGGCCATCAATGAACAGGAATTCTCCAGGGCACTGATGTAGAGGTGCACAGCCCTCATGTGATCACAGATCAGATAACTGTAACCTGAACAGGAGGGAAAAAACAGCCAATTTTCAGTCAAGACAAATGGAAATTCCCTTCATGCTACTTACTGTAACTCTACCAAATTTCTTATTCGAGAAGGCTATAAATACATAGGATGTCCCCTGAGTCACATTCTTAAGTATTAATGGACATGGTTACCACTTTCTCCCTTTTCCTTTTCCTGAGTTATATAAGCTTAATCTACAGTGGAAATTGCCTGACTTCAGAGCTATTCTTCTGTGATCATGCACACTCTCCTTCATAAGATGGGAAGATGCCAACTCTACTTCTGGACATGATTGGCTGCCTTCTTCATCACCAACCACACAGCCAATTTTTTACAACTTCATTCTACCCAACCCAGCAGTGAGGCAATCATGATCAGTTGTCTCTGAAGCTGAAGTGCTGACACTTGACTGGCCAAATGACTGATGCAATCAGTCTGCCAAGTTCCCCAATTTACTAAAAGCTTGGTTCTATTGTTGTTATTGCTACCCTATTTAAAAGTGTGCAACAACTCCCATTGGCTGGATTGGCTGGGGCTAAGGTAAATAGTGAGCTACAACCCCAGGCAGGCTTCTTGGGTCTTTAGCCCCTCCCCATCCCTTGGGACCCTCTCTGTGGGACTGGTAATCAGGATGGAACTTCGAGCTGACTTTCTTTTCCCCTGAGATTGAGACACCCAGCCACAGCCAAGTTCCTTCCTTCATTAACAGGGAGCTGAGGCAGAGACAAACCATACCTTTCTCAAAATTTTTATGAAGAAGAAATGAAAAGTGGTTCATTAAAATGCTTCTGAAATTTTCCAACACCATTGAAACCAAACTAGGCCACCTGATCAAAATAACTGAAATTACTCATTAAACTGTCAAAAAGAAGCATATTTTTAGAAAACTACTAAATTTGGTAAAGCAGATTAGTGATTATTCAATAAAATTGTCAAAGGTATCCTTAAAGTGTTAAGAATATAGTGAAGCCGGAAAAGATTAAAAACATAGAAACAGAAATCAGCATTTAAAACTTCTATATGAAGTGTCAATATATTAGTTATGGTCATACGAAGAATATGGCTAAACAATCCTTAATGCTTAGCTTTTGACAAATTTAATATTTTTAAATAAATAATGCTATGAAGAATATATATTCAAAAAGAACATTCCAGAAGAATGTATGTAGAATAGAAGAAATGTATATTGATTGGATGTGTTCAAGAAGATCATCTTAGCACACCTGTAATCCCAGTGGCTTGGGAGGCTGAGGCAGGAGGATTGCAAGTTCAAAAGCGGCCTCAGCAACTTAGCAAGGCATTGTCTCAAAATAAAAAATAAAAAGGGGTGGGAATGTGGCTCAGTGATTAAGTGCTTCTGGGTACAAAGAAGAAGGAAGAGGAGGAGGAGGAGGAGGAGATCTTGAAGATAATTTTAGAAAACAGTTAAGTTTCTTATATTTGGTGAAGTGGTCATGCAGTGAATGGATTCCTGGGCTAACTAGCTTTGGGCCCATTGGCTTGTTTCTGCCACAGCCACACTCTGCAGAGAATGTAGCTTGTGTGGGCTTTGCCACAAATCAGGGCACAAGGAAGAATAAGACGTGATTGGCTTGAGTGATGTGAAGTTGTGTCAGGGCCTAAGATAAGTGGGGAGGGCAGCACAAGTATAATGCTTCCAAAATCAGGCACTATTGTCTGAAATTCGGGTCTCCAAAGATTCTTGGTAAGTGCAGAGTGAGGCACTATAGGACTCAGCAAAGGGTACTGTCAGAAAACCCTCATTGGCCCTCACTGGTCAATTCAGTGTGAAGACCAACGTTGGTCTCCAGCTTGTGCGGCAGGCAAACACCAATGCTCTGACTTTCTGACCTGCATGAATGAACGTGGGACAGCCAGGCTGGTCCTGGCCTCCATTGACGAAGTAGTCCACGTGTCCAACGGGAATCCGAATACCCAAATCTGAAAGAGGCAGAATCCTATTACCTTCTTACTTCAGGAACATATCTTCCGGGACCCACAGTAGGGTCCACTGGCAGCAGTGCCTGAATTCTGGCCTTAGGAGCCCACCCTGTCTGTGTCCACCCCACTCCAAAGAGCTCCAAGACTTTGTAAGAAGAGTCATGCTGAACCAAAGAAGAATCAATGTATAAGATACCCATACTCGCCTGTAATCCCAGCAGCTCAGGAGGCTGAAGCAGGAGGACCATGAGTTTAAAGCCAGCCTCAGCAACTCAGTGAGGCCCTAAGCAAATCAGTGAGATCTTGTCTCAAAATAAAAAATAAAAAGGGCTGAGGATGTGGCTCAGAAGTTAAGTGCACCTGGGCTCAATCCTCAATACCAAAACAAATCAAGAAGCCACAACAAAAAAATGGTACGTGCATTCACCAAATTAAATCAAGAAAATACTCCTCAATCAAGTTTGTATTATAAAAAATATTATAAACTTGGTAAATTTCCTAGTTTCTGTTTTCCTTCAAGCAATACTTCAGATAAATAAGTTTGGGGCCACATTTCCACAGTCTCCCACAAAACATACTTTTGTGCTTTCTTCACTGAGTGGAAATATGATGTGACTACAAAGAGCTGAGTTTAAGAGAGACTCTAGTCTTCCTCTTGTCACTGGGGCTATATCCTAGGCTCTCCCATATAGCACATCTGACCACTCTCCCAACCCCAGGCCGGGTTAGCCCAACCACCAGGGACCCTGATTTTCTCCTTCAGGTCATCTGTCACTGTTGTAAGAAACGGTGAATTATTTGTTTAATAACATCTACCCAATGGTTAAGCAGGGACACAGAAATCACCCTTAATCCCAGCCTTACCCTCACTTCCCACACCCAGCCCATTAGAGTGTGGTCAGCTCTATCTCAGAGTATATTCAGAAATATATTCTGAATCTTTCTCCTACTGTCTGTCTCTACTGCCACCACCTTGGCCCAAGTCTCCAACCTCTCACCCAGACAACCCCTGCAATTGCCCTGTCCTGGGTCTCTGGGCCTCCCTTAGTACCCTCCTGTACTTGGTTCCCTGTATAGAAGCTGCAGTCTCTTAAAGAAATCCAAGTCACTGCCCTATTCTCAGGGATCTTAGAACCAAAGGGAAGCTCCTTGTAGAGTCCAGCCTAGACTGTTCCCTCTTCTCCAACACACTCAACACCTCTTCCTCCTTCGCTGCCCTCTAACCATATGGTTCCCTTTTTTGTCTCTAGAACAAACCTGTGTCCAGGCCTGCATTTCACTTCTAGCTGGAGGGATCCTCTGTACCTGGAATGCTCTTCTCCCAGCCTTCCCAGGGCTGACTTGTTCTCATCCGCTAAGATTTACCTCACCTCTTCTTGAGCAGATATTCCCCAAGAATCCTATGGAGCAGATCCCCTACCTGTCACCCCCCTCTCACTGCTTCTTCATTGTAACAATCAAAATGTGTAAGCAACTCATTTGTTTCCTTGGATGTAAGATCCACAGTGGCAGGTCTTTTGCCTGACATTTCTCTGCTGGGTCCTTACCACCTACCACACTCCCTGGCTCGTAGTGAGTGCCTAATAGTTATTGAGTGAATAAATAGATGAGTGCCTGATCCCGAAGCCTATGAGTTCTGAGTGGGCAGGGACCTTGTCTAAGCCTTGTTCACTGCTGTATTCTCAGTACTGGTTACATAGCTCAGTAAAGATGGATTGAATAAATGGAATGAATTTTTTTTCAATCCAATCAGGAACTTTGAAGGGCCTAAGACCTATCTCAGGTAACTGGAGACCTAATAAGTCATCTGGTTAGCCAAATTAGGGGCATAAAGGACTTGTGTTATTAATGAACAAGGTTAATTCACCTGACAGAGGCAGACAGAGTGCCATGGGCTTTGGTTTCCCCTCTGGGCAGTGAAGGTGTGAACGAGGCTACATGGGCTTCTTCCAGAATCACTTGTCTGTGGGTCTTGGATGCTAGAGAAGCCTTATGACCACATAGAATGAGACATCTCCTTCAAATTTACCAAGTTTATAATATTATTTCATGCAAACTTGATTGAGGAGTATTTCTTGATTTTATTTGGTGAATGTGGGTACCATTTTTTTTTTGTATCTTTGTTTGTTTTTGGTACTAGGATTGAACCCAGGGGCTCTCAACCTCTGAGCCACATCCTTAACCCTTTTTATTTTTTATTTTGAGACAAGATCTCAGTAGACTGAAAACTCTTTTGGTCAGACCAGATGTTATTTCTCCTTGCTTCAGTGACACTGAGTACAGTGCTTGGCACAGACTCTGGGCATTTTCTATCAAGTAGAAATGAGGAAGACTGTCCACCTCGTTTCCCAGTTGCTCAGAAGGGCTTAATTTGGATATAATGGATTGAGGGGCGTCTTTCCTGTGTCTGTCACCATTGGCAGGGGGCTTCTCATTCTCCATTGCACTGAAGATTGGGCTTGTTCACAGGGGAAAAGGGGAGTCCAGATGGGGAGAGGAATCCCCCCATCCCCAGGGACCAGACACAATCACCCTGAAAAAGCAGCATAGCTTTCCCATAAGTCAGTTGGGCAGCAACGTCCTCCCCAATCCCTTCTCAGTACAAAGTCTGGTTTTGAATCAGAGAGAGGGACTCCCAAACAAGCGAGTTTCATCCATAAATGAAAATCCTATGTGTATTGGCTGCTAAAAAGAAAACCAGTTGTCTCAGTGGTCACAGAATGACTCCCGAAAGAGACTTTGAAGATCATTCTTGTAATGACTGTACAGCAGAAGCCCTGAGAGAGACAGGGCCATACCACTAGGTGCCAGCCTCCTGGCCTCTGCCTTGTGCTTACTCCCTCTCCCCAGACGCAAGTATCCCCCACCCCCATCCTGCTCACTGTCGCTGTCTGTGTGGATGGCTTCCACGAAGAGGGCATCTCCAGCATCCAAGCGCTCCTCCAGACTGGCTCTGGTGTACTCTGGTCCAGCGGGGTCTAAGCCTGCAAGAACAGATAGCTATTGGGAGCTCCCTTTCCTCTCAGCTGTAGGAACTGCAATGGGACCACCATACGCCTTCCTGGATACCCCTCCAGTTCAGATCATGGAGTGCTCCAGCAAAGACCAAGGTTTGGGAGAACTAACTCAGGACCACCTCACTCAAGAAGCCCCACTCACTGTTGTCTCTGTTGTGGTAACCTTCAATGACCCAGTTTTTCTGGCTCTAAAATGAGTTAGATAATACCAACAATTTGGCAATGGCTAATGTGCTCATATTAACCTTCAGGGGCATCTAGTTCTCACCCCATCGGGGCCTCACTGGAAGAGTATGTGGAACATGACTCAGAATTATTCCACCAAAGAGCCAGGAAGTTGGGGTATTTACCACATTGCCCTAGTCCGTTATTGATTGAGGGTGGCTCCTGAAGCATAAAGTCCCCCTCCCACATTTGAAGGTATGTAGCAAAACTGAAGGTGATTCCCACAGTGGGCCAAGGAGATAAGGGATTTTACAGCTCATTTTATAGATCTAGACACTGGGGCTCAAAAGTACACAGCCTCTGATACTAATATTAGAGACCGTGCAATAGTAATGATAGCATTTTATGTAAAACAACTACAATAAATAAATGTCAGTGGTGATAGATGACTCAATCATACAAATAATGGCTCAATACACCACTCTGCCTACCTCAAAAGAGGCATGTCCAGGGCAATTCCTTTCTATCTCTGAACCCTGGGAGGATGGTCAGGGAAAATGTTACCTGTGATCCGTCCCAACTGGCCTTTGTAGAAATGTCCCACCATGCCCCCAACATGGGCCCCCAGGCTAACTCCAATGATGTGGATAGAAGACTCTGATACACCCAGCGCCTGGAATGGGCATTGACAGTGAATTTGTTTTGGATCACAACAACTTTTCCCACAGACTTCAGAGGCTGAGGGCCCTGGGCAAGACACACCCACCACCCATGATTTGGAGAAAAGGGCAGACCTCTCATCCATCAATCACTTTTCCTCTTCCCTTCCCTGACAATCCCCTCACTTCAAAGTGTGTGACTAATGACCAGAACATCCCCTATTAAGGAGCCACTAAATTCCAGGCAATCTGCACTGCCCATCTACTACTCCTTTTACAGAGGAGGAGCAGGAGCCTCGGCCAGGTTCAACACCAAGTGACTAACTCAAGATTTGATCTAAAGACCAACAAGCCCTGAAGGGCTCTGCTTCTGCCCTGAGCCCCCTTAACAGGTGATTTTTTTTCTCTTTGTGCCCTGTCTCTCCTCTGTAAGTAGCCCCAAATCACCCTGAGCTCTTTTGCACCTACCAGGAGTTTACTGAGGAAACGGGAAATCTCCAGGCTCAGCTTAACCACATTTTCCACAGCCAAGTAGTAGACACCTGTAGATCCGTAAACCCAGTCCACAGCGATCACGTTAGCATCTACTGCATTCAGAAGGGCTCTAATGAATGTATTAATCCAGGAAGGCTTTTTTCCTAAAGCCCTAGACATGGGGACAAAAAGGAGAGGAAAATGACCTGCCAAGCTGATATCCATTGTCATGGAAGCCTCTGTTAATCCCAACCCAGAGAAGAAGTCAAAACTAGAAAGTTGGTATAAGGGGCAATTTATCATGCAGTGCTTTGGACACAGGGAGAACATGATCCCAAAGTTGCCAAGCCTCCTGCCAACAGAGGAGGCTTTGTATAAATTATACCTGGGTGCCTTATGGTCCAGATAGTTGCAGCCTCAAGCCAGGGCTCAGAGCTCAAGCTGAATTTCAACCCATGTGCTTTCAATCAGGCACATTTGTGCAATGCTAAACTACATAAACCACATGCACTGCCCAACTCCTGTTTGTGTTATTTGTGGAAAAGATGACTTTGTACCTTAAACTTTATATTTGTGACCTTAATTCTTATTCTAGAATATAGGCTCTTTCCTTGAGGATGTTTTAATTCATTCATTCATTCACTCATCCACTCATTCAACAAACTTTTTTTGCGTACCTATGGGCCAGGTAGTATGCTATGTGTTTTCTAAGAGATAAAAAAACAAATAAGATATAGTCCCTGTTTTTCTGAAACTTAAGGTATAATGAGACTTCTGTAGAAACAGAGTGATGGAAATTTTTTCAGAAATCTTTTCCAATAGATTGGGATCAGAAATGAAGTTTTTGAAATAACCTCCACTGTAGGAACAATCTGAGCATGCTCATGTGGGCAGAGGAGTGCAGACTGGATTGTGCCATGGAAAGGGGTTTGGGGGGACACAGAAGCAGACAGACAACTGGCCTGATGAGCTCTCCAGCTCTCTTAGCCATCCCTGCATTGGAGGCATAGGCTCAGCCTTAGATAGTGACTGAGTGTGAGGCTTGCCTGAGGACAGATTTTGCAACAAGAGTGAGGAGGGAATGTCTAGGAATTATGTGGCTTGGAATCCAGGGATCCAGGAGGTGGAAAGGACAGGAATCAGGAAGTGGTGATCCTCTGTGCCTACCTCTTCATCAGATACCCTCAACTTGAGTGGTTCTACAGTGCTGCTATTCCACCACAGTCTCTCCTTCGTTCCTCCTGGGAACCTTTCTGTTCTTGGTCTTGTCTTGGACTTCGGGTGAAAGTTGTTGGAAGGAAGGAGTGATTGAATTGAGACTCAGTGACTATATGTTATGACAAAATTTGGACCATAGGATATCAGAACTTGTAGAAGAGATGTGTTCTAACTCCTGAGAAACGCTAACCTTTGGGTATGATGGAAGTACCCATAAATAGAAGTTTCTCAGGTCACAAAACCAGGGAAAAAGTGAAAAAAAGGAAATAAAACCCAAAGTAAAAACACCATGCCATTACCCCTGGGTAACTTCACAAAGCCTGTGACCTTACTGTCTGAGATGAATCATGTCACACAGCCCACACTTCAGGGGTAATAGCATGATGTTTTCACTCAGGAACCACTGAGACTGTCTCTACAACTTCTTTAATTCAGATGTGGAAACTGAAGCTCTGTGTATGGAGTGACTTGTCAAGGTCACACATATATGTACTGTTTATGAGTATGCATATACATATGCATGGCCCACAAGAATGAAGGACACAGGGGTGTGCGTGTTGATGAGATGTCTTCAAAAACAGCAGGGCTTGAGAGATGGATCATGTGATGGTCAGTAAATCCTCCCCTTGCTCCCCACTAAATTCCTGTGGCACTATGTCCCCTTCATAGTTCTCAGTTGAAGAGATCCTACTGGCTGGCTAGCTCCCACCTGAATCCGTGAATAATTAGTTTGGTTCCCAGACTGGCATTGAACCCAGAGTCTTGGATGTCACTGCTTTCTTCCAGTAGCTGCCCACAGCTAGGATCTGAAGGTGCAAAGAGGAGAAACTGCACTTTGAGATTGGTGCCTCGGAGGAGGTTGGCATTCTGGAAATCAGTGCACTTTGGCTGTGGGGTAAGAGGTACATCCCCTGGAGGAAAATAAAATAGAACAAAAACATCCAGAGTAAGGTCATCTATTTTTAGAGGAAAGAACGATGTTCTTGGAAGGAAGAAAGAAACAGGGGCTTTCAGGCATGCGGTTTATCATAAGTCAGCTAGGACAAGAATCACTTAGTGATTAAAACCTGCATTAATTCTGTAACCAAAATCTGTGAATATTTTTCATGCCTAAGAATGAAATACCAGAGAAGATTATGAATATTGCTCAATTAAAGGAGGTTAAAGCCCACGTTGAAATGGCTATCATGGGCTAACAGAGTTCTTATGTGGAAGTTCTAACCACTGATAATTTAGAATATGACTAAATTTGGAGAGAGGGTGTTTACAAAGGTAATTCAGTTAAAATGAGGCCAGTATAGTGGTCCCTCATTCAGTAGAACCAGAGTCCTTATAAGAAAAGGAAATTTGGACAGCAACAGAGAAAAGACGATGCGAAGAAGCAGAGGAAGAAGACAGCCATCTGGAAGCCATAGAGAGGCCTGGGAAATGTTCTTTCCTTGCAGCCCTCAGAAGGAACCCACCCTGCCAACACCGTGATCTCAGACTTCCAGCTTCCAGAACTGTGAGACACAAAATTTTTGTTGTTTAAGTTACCCTAGCCTGTGGCACGTTGTTGTGGCCACCCCACCAAAGTAAAACAATTTTCTAAAAAGAACCCTTGACACACCAAACAAGCCATTGCCCTGGGGACTAGGCTCATCCTGCTCTAACTGCCCATCCTGGAGGGTTTCAAATGCCCTACCCCCACATAACCACTTCTTGTCCTTATGTGGAGTCCAGAGAAATTCTAGAACCTTCCAGCACCCAGCCATTGGCTGCTAGCCAACTGACAGAGAACAGCTTTAACAAGCTACACCTACTCAGCAGCACCTTATAATACACACCATTAAACTGGCTATTTTATGGCCAAGGTCATTGAAGGGTCTTTTACAATATCAGCTTCCTTTCAGGAAGTTGAAAATGGTCAATACCAGGCATCCCACACCCATGTCCCTTTATGCGATGCAGAGGTGTGGTCCCTGACTTCCATACCACCAACAGGGATTGCTTGGCAGGAGCAGCAGGGTGCACACTGACCTAAGCACACAGCACAATCATGTGCTGTTGGCAGCTTCCTAGCTGCACTGCCACAGAACAAAGTGATTCCCAGAATCAGTGGTTCCAAGAAAAGTCCAGATGGCAGATTTTATTCTGTGCAGGCCCCTCCACAGAGGAAGACAGAAATTTTAGATTCTGAAGCAATTATCTGCTGTCAGAGGTAACTGGGGACACAGACACAACACAGGATCTGGGATGAACTAGAATGTGGTGCCACGAGCGGATTGTGGGATCCTCAGTCCTCAGAGAATATACCTCACACAGCAAGGCCTTATGGAGCATCAGCCCATCACTGGTTCTAAGCCCCAGATCTTGTCCCTAATTCCTTGGCAAAGCCTTTCTGAACAGCCAGCTCTTAGACACTCCTGGATCCAAGCCCACTCTGGGTGCAGCTCCCCTACTTCACCCCTGAGCTCCTCAGCCTGCACTCTACACTTGAAAGAGAAAGATGCTCACCTGTACTCTTCATCTGCTTTCCCCACTGTTTGGCTTTTAGATGAAAGGATTCTGCTTGAACATGAGATTTAAACTACTTAAGTTAGTAAATCTACTCTATTGGTCATATAGAAAAATCTGCATCCATACAGCAGAATTGAGTCCTTTTGGATGAGCATAACATGTCACAAGGCAGTACTATGGTTTGATATAATTTGGGTGTCCCCCAAAGTTTTCTATGTGAAGTCTTGGTCCCCAAGGTGGTAATATTAGGAGGTACAGTAGATCTGTAAGAGGTGGGGCCTAATGAGCGGTCGTTAGGTCTTTGGGGATATGCCTTCAAAGGGGACTGTGGGGCCTGGAACTCTTCTTCTTTCTTTCTCAACTCCTGGCTTGAGATGTAACATTTTGCTCCAACACACACCCATCACGATGAGCCACCCAAACCAGAGGCCAAATCAAAAGGGCCTCCTTATCTTAGACTTGAACCTCCAAAACCATGAACTAAATAAGCCTTCTTCCTCTTCTTCCCACCCCTCCCTTCATGTGTGTGTGTGTATTTGTGTATGTGTGTGTGTATGTGTTACTAGGGATTGAACCCAGGGGATGTTGCTCTACCTCTGAGCTATAGCCCCAGGCCTTTTTTATTTTTGAGACTAGGTCTCTTCTTTTTTAATTTTTGGCGGTGCTAGGGGTTGAACCCAGGGCTTTGTGCATGCAAGGCAAGCACTCCAGCAACTGAGCTATATATCCCTATCTCTCTTTTCTCTTTTTAAAGTGAGTTGCCTAGAGCATTTCATTATAGTAACTCTATTCTAATACAGCAAGCCTCAACAATCATCAAAGAATCAATATCATCCAGACAACATCATCTAAATAAAATGTAATAGAAAGAGAAATCAATACCAAAAGTTATTTAAAAATACATTTGTTACATGTTAAAATACATCTGTGAAATGTTGAAAAAAATACTGTTCTAAGTAATGTGTGGGTTGAAGAAAAATCACAATGGAAGGTAAAGAATATTAAAAACTAAATGACAAAAAAAAACAATACAGATAAAAATTTGTGTAAGGCGGCTAACACAGCTCCTAGGGTGTTAAAATGGTTTATTGGGAAGCCATTATCTGAGACAGTGCTAGAGCCTGAGTGCCTACCTGAGTAAACCAAAACCCAACAAATGGAGAACATCACCCCCCGGGGAAAATGAAACTTAAGCACTACTGATCTGAAGTGGCCAACTAATCTATAGCCAGGGACTTTAATGCTACCACTTCATTTTTCTTTCTTTATGGTACTGGGAATTAAACCCAGAGATGCTCTCCCACTGAGCTATGTCCCCAGCCCTTTTAATTTTTTATTTTGAGACAGGTCTTTTTAAGTTGCTGAGATTGGCCTCCAATATGTGATCTTCTTGCCTCAGCCTCCTGAGTCACTGGGATTACGAATTGCCACAGCACCTGGCTCCAATCCACATTAACCACTCAAGTATTTTTTTTTTTTTTTGCCTTGCTCCACATGTATCTCTTAAAAGTTTTTCCTTCATGCCTCTTTGGTGAAGTCCTGGACCAATTGCGGTCAGAAGCTAATTCATGAATCATTGTTGGCTCTAATAAACTTCGAAAAGCAAATTTTAAGTGCCTAAGTTTATCTTTTAACAGGGCAAATACATAACCTTAAATTAAAATGTTACTGTGAAAAAGGGAAAGATTTAGATTAGATTATGGTAGTTGAAATATAGAAAACAGTGCAACCCAAGCAACACCATCAGCAACTGTCGCTGTGATTTTGTAGGCCAAGCTTCTTGGACATGTCTTGATTCTTCCCTTCCTCTCACTGTTGCGGGAAACAGACCCATCCATTAGCCAGAAGCATTCGGAGAGAACTCCAAACTTTATTTACATGGGCAGTCCCAGAGAATACAAATTCTGAGCCCTGATCCACAGTTTCTCACAATATATATATATGTTATTTGGCATCATCTTAGATGCCATCCTATCCTTGGGGCTTTTTTCCTCTTTTTAAAAGAGTTCCTAATCTACGCGACTGCAGGCCTTGGGCCAGGTCTCTAACAGAAAGCATGCTTACAGAAACAGAGAAGAACCAGCTGTTTTTACAGGCATCTGTTAAACCTCTAGCCTTAAAGCTTGGTACAGGGGCTGGGGTTGTAGCTCAGTGGTAGAGTGCTTGCTCAGTGCCTTCGTGGGGAAGGCACTGAGTTCAATCCTTAGCACCACATAAAAATAAAGGTGTTGTGTCCATCTACAACTAAAAATAATTTTTTTTAATATTAACAAAGCCTGGTACAGGTATGTTTACATTTCAAGAGGGAGAAGTGGAACTCCCAGGGTAGTTAATATATAATCCAAAAGATAGGGACCCCTGAGGTTCCTGAAGAAAGGCTGAGAGAGAGGAAAGGAACTGACCCTCTCCCCAGGCACTGGTTTCTTACTATAATATTTTTATAATTTCATGTTACAACACAAATGCTAAGTAAATCCTGTTGGCTCTACCAGTGGAATCATATGTTCAATTTTCAACCATATTCACCATCTACTTGCACAACAATCATCACCTTCTAATCTACTGTGGAATTTGCTAATTTGCTCTACTTACTGTTTACTGACTGCCTGCCCACATTACATTATACTTTCAAACAAGGCAGGGATTTTTTTAAAATCCATTTTGTTCACACCACTGCTTAGAATAGTGTCTGCCACACACAATAAACTCCCAAGAGCTATGTCTTTGAAAAGAATGATAAACTAGATGTACTTTTGATAAAACAGAATAAGTAAAAAAAGAGAAGGAAGTCACAAGTAAACAATATCAGGGAAAAAGGGGGATATAAATATAGACATGGTCAATGTTATTTAAACCATAAAAGAACATGTTTGTACCCAACCAAAAATGGAAAATATGACTATTTTCTTAAAAGTGTATAATTTTCTAGATAAGCACAACTTACCAAAACTCACTCAAGAAAGAAAAAACAGAAAATCAAATGCAAAACTATAACATAATGGAAATGAAGCAGTCATTTTAAATACATTTATCAAAAACCTCTAACAGGGGCTGGGGTTGTGGCTCAGTGGTACAGCACTTGCCTAGCATGTGTGTGAGGCCCTGGGTTCAATTCTCAGCACCACATAAAATTAAATAAAAAATAAATGAACCATTGTGTCCATCTACAACTAAAAATATTTAAAAAAAAACCAAAAACCTCTAACAGGCCAGCTTTACAAAGGAGTTCTACCAACCCTGCAAGATTTAATTTATACATGTTGTTCCAGAGAAGAGAAAACAGAAGACAGAGCCAGGCACAGTGGCACATGCCTGTAATCCCAGCAGCTTTGGAGACTGAGACAGGAGGATGACTAGTTCAAAGCCAGTCTCAGCAATTTAGTGAGACCGTAAGCAACTAAGACCCTGTATC